CGCAAGTTTTCTGCCAGCGTAAATTCCCAATGGTGCTAATTAGCGTCCGTCGCTGTTGACGTCCGCCTTCGTTGCATACTTTTGTGCGCGCGTCGTATATTTTTTAATTGGCCGCAGTTGTTGCTGTGGATGTTGCTCGTTTGTTTTGCGGTTGTTGTTGTTGCTGTTGTCGGCACTCGTTAGCTAAATGTGGTTTGTAAATTTGATTGAATTTGTTTTTGATTGTACTCGCCACCACAGATAGACAAGTATGTATATGTGAAAGAGGAAGGCCGAATGCTTCTGCATACGTAGCCAAATTCTACGTGCGAACCGATTCAGTTCTGACTAATAAAGAATCTTCTTCATTTGAACTAGTTTATGTAATTGATAAATCAAACAAGCTAATTGAAATTAGTTCGCCGTGAGCTTTACAAATATTTCTCGGAACTGGTTAGTTCGTACACTTGTTGTCTCCCTTAGCTTTCATATTCTTCTTCTTATTCGACTCTTTGACTGTTTTGTTGTTATTTTCAATTGTCTAATTGAAAGTTAAATACATTTTTGGTAGTTTGTGTACAATTTTGTGCTGCTGCAGCAGAGTTTATTGGAGCCGCAGAGAACAAGCCCCGCCGCTGGCACCGTCACCGCCTTCGGTCCAACGGTTAATATCTGTTTGGGTGCTAACAACTATTGACATTTGCTCAAGTTTAATTGCAAATATTGTTTAGCAAAGGATATGGGCAATAGGTCAATAAAAGTAAGCGGGTAAAGTAGGCCTATGAGTTAAGTCACTCGTTCACTCGCTCACTTACTCAACACACTTACTCACTTACTCACTCGGCTACTCACTTCCCATACCACTCATACTCTCAATAACTTACGCACACCATATGCGGCTCTCCCACTCTGCTGAGCGACTAGCTATATTTACTCTTTGTACTTGCAAAAGAAATTGTACTAATGGAATTATTTCATGTTTTCCTTTTTATTTCCTTGCCATATTGCGCTGCGCCACGTCGCATTTCGTTTTGTTTTGTTTGTCGTTTTGATTTGCTTTCGTTCTGGTTTGTTTTTGGTTTTTATTTTTTGCTTCCTTTTCTTACGACCGCGCTGTGCAAATAACTCAACGTTCGACGTTCGACGTTCGACCCGTCGCCTCTTCTGTTCCTTCTTGGTGTTTCATCTTGCGTTGCGCTCTCTCACTCGCTCTCATTCTCTAAGCGATATGTCGGCTGCGAAATCAAAGCAAAGTAAAGCATACAATATAAGCGTCGTCGTTGACGTCGCGGTCGGCGCAGCAGCCGCTAAAACGAGCAAGAAATAAAAAAGCAGAAAACTTTTTTGTTTTCCTTTGGGGCGTTTCAAATAATTTTTGACTGATTGAATTATTAATAAAATTGATCGAAATGCAAAGAGAGGCGACGTCGCTGCAGCAGCCGCTGGTCAACAGAAATAATGTTGATTGAATTAAGTACTTTAAAGCTTATGGGCCGAGAAAGAGAGCGAGAGAAGGCAGACAAGTTTTTGTTGTTGACTGAGAGTATTTGATGTCGCCTGGTACGAAAACATCTTATGATTGGTCGCTTACCGAAAGAAAAACGTATGTACACATGCACACACACGCACACACACACAGGCATGCACACTATATGCACATATATATAAATGTGTGTCAGAATGAGGCAGTATTTAATTAACACAAATTTCCATTAATATATATCAATTACAGTTGACTTAATTTTTAGGTAATTGATGCAACAACAATAAAAGTCTGGCTAATTGCATTGTTGGATTTTCTCTCTCTTTCACTCTTTTTGCGTATATATGTGTATGTGTGTGTTCATCGAGTGACATGTAAGCGTTTTTTTTTCTGTGGTCAGGCGACATAGGTGTCGATAACGACATTGTAATCGCTATGCATTTGTACACTTCACTTCATTTGTCGCACTGCTAATCAATCATGTTAATTAATTGAACACATTTGGGACTTCAGTGACAAATATGTATATGTATATGGAGTAGTGTCTTATTTTCTTGCCGTTATTTTTCATATGCAAAAACAATTACAAAATCATCATCAACAGCTGAAAATTTGTCGGGTTGTCACAAAATGCACATTAAGCAAGAAAACAATTTTGCTGATATTCGCGTCAGTTTTATTTATTTTCATAAATTTTTTTCCACAATTTGCTGATACCCAAATAAGAACAAAAAGTGCAGCTGAACTGTTGACCACGGGTGTTTTCCTTTTTCTTCTTTTTTTCGTTGGGTGCACAGCGGAAGGAAGTGGATGAGTAGGGAGTGGGAGTCGGAATAAACCAAAGTGAATTAAATATTTACATAAATTTTTAAAAATCAAAAATTAAATAATAAAAATCAAGACAAAAACGAGGCGCAGAATGACGCACGTTACATGCCACGCAGCCAGCTGCCAACTTTCAGCTGTCCTGCCTCAATGGGATGCAAGCGACCAATTGGCTTTTTATTAATTAATTTATTTGAGCTGCTGTTGTTGTTGCCCTGCAATTTCAGTTGCATTTTCATTCATTTACTTGCTTCATTTTTTTCGTGATTATTTAATTGTTTTTGCTGTTATTAATATTAAATATTTATTTTGCAATTCTATTTAATTTGCAATTTATAATTGCATTTTGATGACCGCCCCGCGCCGCCGCTCATCTCCATCAGTTTAAATGGCCTTTTCGTTGCCGCAGCGCAAAAAAGTAGGCAACCTTTTATTTCATTGCCTACTTTTTAGCGCAGCAGCTGAATCAATTCACAGTTATTCGATAATTGATCAACGACAAATCGATTTAAGTGCCTTTTTAACTTTCAAGCCTTTGAGCCTCGAAATGCATTTATTTACATTGGCAAAAGTTTGCCCGCAAACTGTGCCGAGTGTGCCAGTGTTGCCATCGAGTTGTATTATTGCAGTCTGGCAACATTGGCTTATATAGTTCATTTGTCAAACAGTTGAGAAACATTTGACGCCAGCTCAAGTTGGCACTTCCAAATGGTATTAAAAGTGATCTTGTAATGCAACTCGGCACCAAGTTCTTTTCGGAACCAGTTCATAAGTGTTCTTAAGAGCAGGTTCAGTTTCATTCCAATGCAAAGATTCAATTCATTTAAGCGCAAGTTCACATGGAGGATAAGGGACAGTCCATAGCGAATGGCAGCTGGAGAGGACATCCACTGGCTGGCTGACTGACTGACCCAGCCCCAGCCCTGCTCCAGTCCCAGACCCAGCTTCACAGAGCAATCCCCACTCTTTTGCCCCGTGACAATCAAAATTAAAATGAGTGGTTTATTAAAATTTAAACGCTTCACTTTGCGCCCGCAAAAAGCATATTTTTTTTTAACTTGGCCCGAAATGAAAATGAAGGACAATGCAGAGTAGAGGAGGAGGAAAAGGAGGACGGAGGGCAGGGAGTTTGGACAAGGACGAACTGGAGAATGCAGAGCAGCAAGGGAATGGGAGTGAGGAAGAGGAAGTGGAAGTGGAAGTGGAAGTGGACGCGAATGAGGCCGTCGTCGTCGTCATTGTTGGCTTTGGCTTTGGCTACTTTGATGTATTTTCATATTCCACAGAGACGAGTCGAACGCACGTTGGCTGCCAAATGAGGGCGCGACAAGCTGTGGGGTGTGACGCGCAGGCAGCATGCAACGCTGGGTGGGTCTGGGTGGTTAACAGCATATGATAGCAAGACTGTTATTTGGTCAGCGAATGTTGACGTTGACGTTGACGACGACGTCGACGTCGACGTCGACTTTTGCGAGAGCCTTAACGTTTGTCTCTGACATTTAAACGTTGATTGATTTTGCTTGCTGGCAGCTACTTAAGTTCCCTTGCCATTACGAATACAGCCACAGATACAGGCACTGGTAAAGGCACTGGCACTGGCAGTGGCACTGGCAGACTCAACCCCTTCAGTCGCAGCAGCTCAATGTTTTATTTGTCTTCATTTTAATTACATTGATTTTGATTAAACGCGCGCGCCACATTGTGTTCTCTCTCGCTCACTCGCGCCTCTCTCTGTCTCGCTTGCTCCCTCCACTTCTCTGTCTCTATTTGCACATCATTAAAATTGTAAAAATATTAAATGGCAAAACAAAAAACTAAGACAAACACAAATGCAGCACAAATTCAGACATGGCCAGCATTTTAAGGGATTCTTTTATTATTTTCGTTGGGGATTTTCGCATGCTCTTTGAAGCTGAGGCGCATCGAAAGGGTGCTGAGTAATCGAATGATTATCTAAATAAAATTTAACAGAACCCATTAGAATCGATTAGTTTGGCTAACAATCGATAAATGTGTATCGATCGCAGTCCATTGGCTTTAATGTAATTTAAAATGTTTCAACAATCGATAACAATCTGATAGTTATAATTATCGATAACAATCGATAAACAGAGAACATTTGTCAGCAAATTAGTGTAGTTGATTCAACATAAGCAGCAATAACAGTTATAGATCAAACGATAACCAGCTATCGATTGGCTATTTGCTGTTAATATTGTGAGCAATCGATAACTTGTAAAATAACGACCGATAACACTTAGTCGATCACTTGCACCTACATCTTTCGTCTATCGAACATACTCGATAACTATCGATATAAATTGAGGTTTACTCTTAACTCGTTGACGCTTATCAAGTTTGTTCGCAGCATTTTCTTACCTCGGCTAATAGCTGCCTTCCACTTTACCCAGCCACTGGCACGCCCACACCCGAGGCTCTGTGGAGGCAAACAAGGCGAACAATTTTAAAATATTCAATTGGCTGATGTTGCCTGCCGCTCTCGCTGCTCATTATTTGTTAAGTGGCTTAATGAAGGCGTCCTTCGCCCGACGTCCTTCGTCCGAGCAGTGGCTGCCTAGTGGTAAATTGTTTACCGTTCGCCCAGTTTTTCCCATTTCCAGTTTGACTTTAATTAAATCGCTTTTTATTATAAAATGTGTTTGCTTAACTTTTACTCATCAGCCTTCTCCTCTCTCTCTCTCTCTCTCTCTAGATAAACTGGCAAGCTGTTTTGTTTGCAAGGCGGAGGCATGCCCGCGCACACGCCCATTGAAGAAGGGGCGTGGCCAGCAATATGCAATTCCAGACGAAACGATACCAGCGGGCGCACGCGTCTGCAACAGCTGCCAATGCAAGTCGGTGCGCAACCGCTATCCCAATTGTCCGCTGCCCACGTGCCCCAATCCCAAGGATCGGGCGCAGCGTTTGAGGAATATACCCACACGGCTGTTCGAGTTGGCGCCCGAGTTGCGGGATCCGTTGATGGCCGAGTTCCAGATCAAGTTGCATGCCACACGCTGCTGTTCCGCCTGCCTGATGCGCATACGACGCAAACTCGATCCGCTGCTGAATCTCACCGACGAGGACCGACGTCGCAGCGGCGTTGGTGGCGGCGATGCCAGCGCAGGCGATGAGACCGACGTGAGCACTTCTTCCTGTGATGAGCGCGAGCCAGGCGGCTCGGACACTGCATCCGTGGAAAGCCCCGAGTATCTGCAGCGGCACAAGTCGCAGTTGAGCAAACAGCAGCAACAGCAACAGCAACAGCAGCAGCAACAGCAGCAGCAACAACAGCAGCAACAGCAGCAGCAGCAGCAACAGCAACAGCAACATCAGCAACAGCAGCTGCCACAGCAACAACAGCAGCTGCCACAGCCGCCGCCAGCGCCACAAAAGCCGCAACAACAACCCACTGGAGCTGTCAATGTACGCAGCGTGGCAGATGCATCCGGCGCCGCTTTAACCATTACGCCCACTCGCATGACCGCCAAGGCGGCAGCAGCAGCAGTTGGTGGCAGCGACAGCGAACGCCTGCTGCCCCCAGCATGCCAAGCACCGAAGAAGCAGAAGACCAGCGAGGAGTACGACTCCTCAGCGACAGAGACGGCGGATGAGGAGAATGAGAATTCGCCAGCGAATCGACAGAGTCCCAAAGTGATCTTCAACGCGGTTTCGCATGCGCATGCGCATCCACCACACGGACATGGTCATGGGCATGGCAACAACAATGTGGCCGGGCTGCAGCCACCAAATGCTGCAACGGTAGCAACTGTTGGTCTAACTGCGCAGCAGCAGCAACAGCAGCAGCAGCCGAATGGACCCATGAGCCTGCGCCGCGAGCCAGTAAATGTGCAGGATTGTGTCTTCTCCGTAATTGAGCGACAGCTGAAGCAGCAGGCCAAAGGGCCGCAGCTGCCAGGCAACAATCAGGGCAAGCAAGTCAGCCAGCAGCAGCAGCAACAACAGCAACAACAGCAGCAACAGCAACAACAGCAACAGCAGCAGCAGCAGGCGCACAATAATTTGGAACGCAAGGAACTGACCATAGTGCGTGAATATCGACAAGATGGCAATGCCTTGCATAAACAACAGCAGCAGCAGCAACAGCAGCAGCAGCAACAATTGCAGCAGCAGCAGCAGCAACAGCAGTCAGCGGGCTTGCCGCATGGCACCTCTGTGCAAAAGTTGAGCTCGCGTGCTGTGCCGCCGCCTAACTCTGTCAACAGTAGCAGCAGCAGCGGCAACATCAGCAACAGCAGCAGCAACAACAATGCCAACAGCAACAACAATAGCAGCAACAATAGTGACAACTTGGCTACCTTATCTGTGGTTAATTCACATCTTGCCGCGCATCATGTGCACATGTCACATCCACTGCTGCAGCAGCAGCAGCAGCAGCAACAACAGCAACAGCAGCAACAACAGCAGCAGCAGCAGCAGCAACAGTTGTCGAGCAGCGTGGATAAGGCTACCATTACGCCGGTGCTGAAGAAGAGCGCTATTACGCCGACGCCTCCAGAGACGATCATCTATAATGTGTCTGGCAGTCATTTGGCGGCACAGCAGCAACCGCCCACGCAGTCCGCACCGCCGCCAACGCATACGGTGCATGCACCGCCGGTGCAGCAGCGTTTGCCACCAGAGCCAGAGCCACAGACGCTTGACTTGAGCATTAAGAAGACGCCGCGTGAAGGCCACTCGCCACACACCCACCCACTGTCGCACAGTTCTGTGGCCAGCTCTGTGGACCGGCATCATGGACCGCCGCCGCCGTCGATGGGTGGTGCAATGAAGCACATTGTGCGCACCTCATCCATGTATCGGGGCGAGGCGACATTGCCCACTTTGTCTGCTCCGCCGCCTGCCTCCAGCTATTTGACCTATCAGCAGCTGCACGGCGTCGGCGTGGGCGTAGGTGTGGGCGTAGGCGTGGTCAAAACAGCACCTGGACCGGCACAGCCGGGCTCGCTGTATGTGCAACCCGTACCTGTACCACTTGGCCAAAGCCAAATGACGCGTCCAACGCCACCGCCGCCCGCCCAGCCGCAGCCACCGCCGACTCGGGTCTCCAAGCTGCCGCCCAAGCTCAGTCCGCAGCAGCAGCAACAGCACTTGCACAGTCAGATGCCATCGCCGCAGCAACAGCAACAGCAGCAGCAGCAATCAGCTGCCCAACAGCAGCAGCAGCAGCAACAGCAGCAGCAATTGCAGCT